GGTACACCTTACCATACATCAATTCTACACATGTTGTGAAAATTTCAGACTAAGGTCATTCAAGGTCAGGTCACCAGGTCACTTCAAGTGACCTCACCTCATAAAAACTTTCAATGTCTGTCATAGCTACACCGAGTGACCGATCGCTTTGAAACTTTCAGCGATTGCTAAGAGCAATAGCATGTACAAAATGTATATCTCAGAATTTTGATATCGATGACCTAAGGTCAGGTCAATTTTGCGACCTCCCCATTATAAGTCAATGGGAGAAAATTGAAATGCGCCTCTTTTGGATGAAAGACATTATTAACACTCCCAAACACCGAATTACAAGTGGTTTAGACACACTGAACTTGAAAATGGTGTCCGTGACCCTTGTTTATGCCCTGAGGTCATCTTAGGTCACGAATGGTATCTAACAGTTTTTCGCAAATAACTTTTGATAGAGGCATGCTAGAGCGTTGAAAACGCCTTAGATGTGTTCAGCTCGACGATACGGATCGACTGATATGCAACATGACCCTTTCCGGTCAGGTCATGACCTTGACCTGAGGTCAAATTTTCAAGTTGACCTTTCAAGGTCAAGTCATAGTTCATTCGATGCGTCTTGACGAGAGGAACACGATGCCGGTAAAAGTAAGCTCGTATAGTCGACTACAGAATGATGTTCCACTTTTCACAGGCAATTATTTGCCTGGTGTGGTAGGCTGTGGCGCATCACACGGGCTGAGTTCACAAATTATAGCTTTGCCCCAATGCTCACAATCGACACGCTTAATTGCGTGATAAACGGCACAACTTAGTGCTCCGGTCAACTGATAGCTTCTGAGGAGTGGAACATCATTCTGTAGTCGACTATACAAGGCTTGGGTCAAAAGTTATTGCAGAAAAACTGTTTTCGAAAAAATCGGCTATTTTTGCAGTTTTTGCCCCCTGCAGGCAAAACCGTTGACGTTAGGTCAAATCTGAGAGAATTACTCAGAAAGGGCGTTAATAGGGCTATCGAATGCGCTTTTCCGCGGCGCTATAGCTCTATTGGTTCTCGAGTTATGCGTTGGCTTCTTGGAAATTTTCGACATTCGACCTGGAAATCGGCGAAATTTTGCCTTCAATGACCTCTGGTGACCTGACCTTTGACCGGACCAAAAAATTGACCGAAGTGATTTCGTCATTATTTTTTACGCTCTTTCGAACGCCGCCTTCCGCGTATCGCTACGTGGCCCAGGAGCCGAGTTACAAGGGGGGGTGTTCAAACACCCCCCCCCCCCCAGCAGGGCGTGGAAATCCAGGACCCCCAGCAGGGCGCGGGTTAATATTTCTACAGGCAATTTTAGAAGTGTCTTCACATGGATTACAAAACCGTTTAGATTATTGTATTCACTTCAAGCCTTCCCTATTGTTCTTGATGATGCGGGAACTATTTCTAATTAGTGTTTCTAGCTTAGTAAAAGAACATACTGTGCAAACGATGAAAAAAAGCATAAATGGAAGATTTTAAATGCAATTTTCTCTAACAATTAATGGTAAATTCTCTACATATCAAGTAAAAGGTGCATGCTAACTGATAATTTAAAGTTCTTGGGGCCAGTTGTTTTCTTCTTTTCTTACGTCGCCCCAATGGCCGCGAATGCACTTGTGATAACGCCTATCAATCAATGTTATAAGTGACATCGAGCAAATTATTACCTATATTACTACCTGCAGACTCATGAGTCTGACGCCTCAGCGATAAAAAAACTAATTGGATTTGGGTTTTCATGGAATTTTATCTGAAAGTTGAAATATATACAATATAGCATGGAGTAAATCAAATTACATACATTTTAATTAGTGCTATAAATCAGTTGCCAATAACTTCAGTCGTCCTCAGCGTTTACATATCGCTAATTATAAGTCGATTTATGATTAAAATTGAAAAGCCATGTGCACTAACGAGATTAGCTAAGGTAGTGCAAACACACAACTTTGTCCGGCTTGAACATGACCTTACAATGAAAATAGAATGTCACGATGATTGCTATGTCACCAAGCCTACCAAGCGATGTCCACAGCAGTACAATACCATGTTCGACATCGATATGTTGTCACGTGCGTTGTCACGAGAAAGGTGGACGCTGTCTCTCGACACCAACCGTCGCTGATCTTGTATTTTATTTGTAAGATTTCTGCCTTCTCACGGCGCCACCTAAAAGATATCTGAAACGAAACCATGACATCAGCAGTTGTAAAGGCCGAGAATCCATGCAAAATACCATGGTCTTGCGAAAGGTATCGTAGTATTCGAGTGACCACAATTTATCACGGATCCTTTCTTGGAATAAAAATGATCGACCGTTGGATAAAACCTGCTACCCACGACCTTCAGTTGACGCAACCCTGCATCCTAACCACAATGATGCGGTCACCCGTAAAGCTGCGATGACCCCACTAGAGGCGAGTTCCCGTGGGAGCCAGCTGCTGCGTGAGTGCAGCCATCGGCGGCGGCTGGCCCCGCCCGGTGCGGCCCGGCCTTGCCGGAGGGCCTACGATTGTCTGTGATACCACGCAGCTCGTCGCCCCGCGACCGACCGTCTGGATGACAGAGTCAGAAAAGACGTCCTTGTGCCAGGTCTCTGACCGTCGGCAGATGTGCCGAATGCGGGCTATTCCTGGCACTCAGACCCGAACGATCAGCTTCCCGGACCAGACGGAGCGAGGAAATGAAAGCGAAAGTGCCAGGCCAGACAAGTGCGATGGCGTGAACAAAGCATCACGCCCGCTTCGCTGACCGGTCGACCGCAGTGTGAGTCCATCAATCACCAGATGGAGACAACAGTCCAATAATTAACAATTTGGAGCTGTCGTAGCCGCTCATATCCACCATTGTTCAATTCAGCTCCGATTGTGGAATGCTGTGTCTGCTGAGCAGTGACCGAGCCACGGGGCGGCCGTGACCCCCTCGGCACCGCGCTTGGCGCCGTCGCACCGCGATCTAGAGACGTCTCCCCACCGCAGCACCCGGTCTGTTAGTTCCCAGAAGCGATACCTCTCCGGTAATCTTAATCCCGCGGCGATGCCGGTGCCAGCCACCGGCTGCCAGGTCTGAAGGTCTTCCCGAGGCGGGACACGGCGGACCAGTGACGCATCAGACACAAACGCGCGGCATTCACGGCAGGTGTGACGTCACAATCACGGATGCACCGCCCCCGCGATCGGGATACGTGACGTCACTGTCTGTGGAGGGGTCTGACTCCCAGACTTGATGACGATTGAATGGAATATTCCGACCACCTTGCCGGCACGGCATAGAAAATCTTCTTACAGTAAAGCAGCTTAATTTAAAATCTCAGGTCTGTCCGGCAAGGCCAAATTGTGGGGTTGGTGCTCGCTGCCGAAACGGGTGTCTGAAGTGAGCTGCAATCTAACGGTGGTACTAAGCCTCCCAGCAAAAGTAGCTGGGAAATACCTAGATAAGCCACCGAGAGTCCTCCTTCGGTACGGCCGAACTGAGCACGGATGCCGGACTCCCCAGCCATCCCAGCTGAGGGCGAAAGTTGTTTTGGGAGGTGCCTGGCCGCTTCCCAGTCCGGCGTTACGCCACCGGACACATATCTGTCAGTTCATAAACAGCGCAGCCGTGCCGCGGCCGCGCTGACCAGCTTCCCAGTCCGTATTCTCCTGCGGCGCGGTGATCCGCTCGGCGAGAGGAGGCTCGTTAGAGCTGGCACGTGACGACAGCGGAGACTGCGCCGCCGCACAGGAAGCTAACGAGAGACTGCAATAACTCACAGGAGCCTAACACCGGAGCGGTTTCACCTTTCCGGGAGGGCGAGTAATGACACTGTGACCGTAAAAAGTTAAACGGCGCGTTCAATGCATTAAATAACCACACACTTCCGTTTTTAACAAGGAATGATGGAAATGAATCGACATCAATATTCTGTCACCGCTCGTAAGTCAAGTCACCGCTTTTGGGCAGGCATCGGTAGCAAATATCCACAGCGAACAGCATCCAATAAACACAAACCTTTCACTGATTTAAATGACTTTTCCTTCTGTGTTTCAAACAATCTATTAAATAAACATTTCTATTTTCTATCATTTTCATATAAATAGGTAACGTAGGTAGGTATGTAAATGCATCAATAAATGACCATTCGCGATGTTGATCGGTGTGAGTGTTGGAAATAATTGACTAGACCCAACAGCCAGGTCTACGGATTCAATGATATAGCTTCACCACTCTTGCACTCCATATTTACATGTGGACATAGAGGAGGGCAGAGATCGCATGCCAGCAGTGAAACCTGGCGTGGGCTGCTGGTTTGGATCAGGCGTCGGCTCGATGCCGATGATACTGCATAACAGGGTGGGCCCTCGCATGAAGCCAATGTGACGAAACGCGTCCCGACCCAAGTGTGCTGTCTTACCCGTTTCAATATATATAATATATATATATACTAGTCTTTTGATACCTAACTCAAACTCATTGCATTGTTGCTTCATTGCTCAAAATTTGTGTGCCTATATACTTAGGCACTTAGTTTTTTTTTTTTAATGAATACTTATAGTAGGCATCAAATGACAAATCGCACCTTAACTTTAATTAAATGTGTGGCGAAAGCTTGGTGTGATTCTTTTTTCCAGCTGCGCTGCATTACGAATATAGGTATCTAAAATGTTATTTTCAAAACGGGCTTCGCTGAGGAAACTAAACATTATAACCAAATATTTCGGCTTAGTGATCAGCCTTGTTCACTAGTTTTATTTGGAATTTGGTTATAATATTTAGTTTCCTCAGTGAAGCCCGTTTCGAAAACAATTAACATTTTTGACATCTATTAACCCGAGGAAAAGAATAATGACGCTTCGGCAACATCTTAGGGTAGGTAAGTTATCACATACCAAAACATTGGATCTCGTCGGCAGCACCACGTAGCCGCCCCCCCCCCTCGCTACCCTGTCCTCAGAAGAAACCCGTAGGCATGTGTGTGACTGACAGCACCCTCTGTGTGTTTCAGGCCGGCAGCGTGGGTGGCGCTGCTGCTGGCGGTAGCCGCCGCCGCTCCGCAGGTGGCGCCACTGGGCAACGGCGAGCCCATCGAGTCGCGCATCGTGCGCAAGGTGCTGGAGAATGGCACCATCGTCGAGTACGAGTACCTCTACTACTACGACTACGAGGATGGCGAGGCAGAGAACTCGCTCGACTTCGATGATAACTTCGCTGAGAGCTCGCCCAGCGATGCTTCGACCGCAGCCACGACAGAGGCAGCGACGGAGGACGTTGTGACCGACGCTCCGACTACCACCACAACTACCACAACGACTACCACAACCACGACCACCACGCCCACCACAACCACGACCGAGCCGCCCACCACGACTGTCGAGGCGGTGACTCGGCCATCGCGGCGCCGCCTGCGCCCGCAGCCGGAGATCCTCAACAACGAGGTAACCCTGGTCTCGGAGGGAGGACAGTTCTCGCGTGGACGAGCCAGTCGACGACTGATCGGAGGTCAGGCCTCCAGGGATGAGAATGAGGAAGAACGGACGCTGTCCAACCGTCGCACCATCAGCCGTGGAAGCACTTCCACGTCCAGTGTCCGCACGGCGTCTGTCGGTGGAGAGGCCTCGACTGCCGTCAACCGTGGGCCAGCTCGTGGATCGAGGCGAGGTTCGACTCGTGGGAGCATCAGAGGACGCGTCAGCGCTAGCCGTGAACGTGCCAGTGCTGGGCAAGAGGAAGAAGACGTTGAGCAGGAGGTGGCTGTCACGACTAACGTCCGCACTTTTGCCACATCCGGCCGGCGGTCGAGCCTGAGCCGCGGCCGAGGCAGAGGTCGCGGACGGCCACAGTCCAGTCTGACTTTCACTACCGAGCCAACTACTACTACTGAGGAGCCCACCACTACCGAGCCCACAACCACTACTACAGAGCCTACGACGACCACGACCACCGAGCCCACGACGACCACCACTGAGCCGACCACCACCACGACTACTGAGGCAGCCACTACTGCGGCAGCCGCGGAGATCAGCACCACAGGCATTCCTCCCAAGGACTTAGAGTTTGTCAACTACGACGAGCTTTACGACGACGGCTACGATTACTACTACTATGGAGATTATGCGTACACAGATGACTTCCCCGCTCCTGTGGCTGCCGAGGCTGCCGCTGATGCCTTCCTTGGAGAGGGAGTCGGCATTTCTCTTAGCAGGTCGCGAGGACAGACCATCCAGCCAACCACAGAGGCTGCTCCAGTCGCCCCTTCAGAATCCCCAGCTCCTGAAGAAGCCACTACGACTGAAGCAGCTAAGCTTCTGTTCTCTGAAGCCACCAGTGAAGCTAATGATGGTCCGATATCGACCACCACAGCTCTGCCCGAGCTGGATGAGGCCACTCCCACCATGAGCCTTGATACTGAGGGTTTAAGTGCCGGTGTTGACTCCACGACAGAGGCCGAACTTTCCACTACTGCTCGTTCTGCGCCTATTGAGACTGCGGATCTTTTCCCGACAGTGTCAACTCCGGTACCAACGGACACTTCAACCATCTCAAACCTGAATGACGCAGTCGATGGTGGTGCTGACACACCAGTTCCTTTTGAGGAAGCATCTCCCCTTCCAATCTCAACAGAATCAAGCTTCGAGGCCACACCTACAACGGAGGCCAGTACTCTCCAAGATGATTCAACCACAGAAAGGTCTCGAGGACGGTTTTCCTCTCGAACCAGGCTTTCATCGACTCGAAACCGCATTACCACTCCCGAAGAGGCTGCTCCCGTGCCAGCACGCGATGCACAGGAGGAAGTCGCCATCAGCTCCACTCTCAGCAAGGAGGAACTTGAACAGAAAAAGGCTGCCATTGACGAGCCGATCAGCACCATCACATCCCAGCGTCGCGGCAGCAGCCGATTCCGTTCCCGTGCACAGGCTGCCACCCAGCAAGGTTTCGCTCCAGTGCGTCCTCGAGGCCGCCGTCCAGTCAGCGTGCCGACTCCTGAGTCGAGCGTCGCCCCGACCCAGGAGGTCACGAGCAGTCGCGGCTCGGTTCGTCGAGGTGGCACCCGCGTGGTCAGCAGTCGCGTCAGCAGCCGCACCCGAGCCTCCCAGACAGAGAGACTGAATCAGCAGGATGAGCAGCTGGAAGCCGAACTGCAGGATCCAGTGGTGCTGGACAATGCCCGCCTGGGCCGTGTGGTACAGCGTACCAGCAACCGACGACGGCCGGTTAACGATGTCACTATTCAGACCACGGCGGTGCCGACACCTGCTACCGAAGAGTCCACAGAGTCAATCGTCTTGGACAAGAGGCGGCTCCCCAAGAGACCGCGCTTCCCTCCCCGTGGCCAGCAGCAAGAGAGAGATCAGGCTTTGGAGCTAGAGCTGGAGCGAGAGTCAGAACAAGCACCTCAGGAGCAGCTTGAGCTTGAAGGAGAAGACATCGCTCATCAAACTGAACAGTCACGGGAAGAAGTTCTGTCGGCGGAACAAGCCTCGGAGCAAGAGTTAGTGGACGAGCAGACGACTGATTCTGAGTTGGAAGTGAGGCAGGAGCCGATTCGCATTGAACCTGAGCTGGGTCTGGGTCAAGCACAAGAGCAAGCACCAGTAGGAGAGCCTGAATCCACTGAAATAGAAACCAGCGTGGAGCTCGGACATACCCAACAGCAGGAACCCCAGGGCACCACAGAGGCGGTTGCACCTACACCTACAGCCGCGTTTGCTGACGATTACGGCGATTACTACGACGATTATTATTATGCCGATGCATTTGCTGACGATGCGGTCGTTGGTGCTGACCAGGACATCCCCATAGCACCTGAGGTAACTGAAAGTCGATCAGAATCAGATGGTAAAGAACCGACTATTGCTTTGACAACGGACACCGCTTCCACTTCTCCTGCTGTACCAGAGCCAGTCGTCGCCATCGATGACGAGACTGCAGCTCTTGACGTCGCTGTTGAGACTGAGGGTCTAGAAACAGAAGTGACGGTCACCGAGACGACGGCCGCTCCCACCACATCAACGACTACAACGACCACGACGACCACGACCACGACTACCACCGAGGCAACCACCACGACCACTGCTGCGCCCGAGGAGGAGACTCAGCGCACGCGTCTTTCGGGAGGTGGCCGTCGTCGTCTAACGAGTAGCCGCCGGGTCCGACCGCAGCGAGTCCAGGAGACTGTCGAGAAGGAAGAAGTCAATGTAGAGGAAGCGCAGCCAGTCAGCAGACTTTCTTCCAGATCGAGGGTTAGGGGACGACAGCCGTTGCGCAGGACGCGACCCGGGCGTAGACCACAACCAGAGCCCGAGGCTGTCGAGGACCAAGAGGAAGTGCAGCAAGAGGCTGTTGAAGGAGAGGTTACCGCAGAGGCTGTGACCGAGCAGAGCACAACCACGACCACAACCGAAACTCCCTCGAGGCTGTCTGGACGCCGTCGCATCAGCAGTCGCCGCAGGGGAGGTTTCCGCGGCCGAGGACGCCCGAGGCCTGAGGTCAACGTACAACAGGAAGAGGACACGGAGGAAGAAGACTCCACGCCAACTAAAGCTACTCCAGCACCAGAGGCTGCATCTCCAGCCCCCGTACGCCGTGGTGGAGTGTCGAGGCAGCGTCTAAGGTCCGGTGGAGATCGCCGCCGCACACGTCTGCGTGGCCCCTCACGACTTCGTGGTCGCCCAGAACCCGAACCTGAAGTAGAGGAAGAAGAAGTGGTTGATAATGTTCAAGAAGAAGAGACACTGGATGTGGAGACATATGCATCCAAATCGAATGCTGTCGAGGAAGAGACCATCGCTGTCGAGGAAGCGACTGAGGAGGCCCCAGCACGAGGTCGTCCGGCCCCTGGCCGCCGAGGTAGACCCACATCGTCAAGAGGGTTCCGCTCACGGGGACCTGGCCGTCGCGGTCGCCGACCGGAGCCTGCCGAAGAGAAGCCGATTAATGAGGAACCCATTGAAGAACAGGTCCAAACTGAATCTGAGGTCAAGCAGGCTACTGAAGTGTCTGAAGAAGCCGTCCAAGAAGAAAAGCAGGAGATTGAAGAGGAAGCTGTGGTGGCACCAGCTCGTGGTGGACGCCGAAGGGTATCAAGACTTCCTCTGCGTGGATCACGCCCCAGCCTGCGTCGGGCTCGCCCGTCGCGCCGGGGACAGCGGGTACAAGAGACGGTCACTGAAACTCCAGCGGCTGAAGAGGTCGTGTCTCAAGAGACTGCTGAGGTCGTCCAGGAAGAGCCTGGTGCAGAGGAGCTAAGTGAAGAAGCGCTTAATGAGGTAGAGGCTCCGGCGAGAGGACGAGGCAGCAGCCGATTCCGGGGTAGGCTTTCAAGCCGTTCACGGGCTCCTCTTCGTGGGCCTGCCAGACGACCTACATCAAGCCGTCGCAGGCGCCCGACGGTCACTACCGAGGCCACTCCAGAGCCCACCACTGAAGAGATTGTAACGGAGCCAGAGGAACAACAGACAGAAAACGAGATCGAGGAGAGTAACGCTGTTGAGATTGACGAGACGCCGAGAAGAGGTGTCAGACGCCGAGGATTCCGTCGACGCACTTCGCGTGGCGACGCTGAAACAGTCGCGAGCACAACCACCAACGTCATAACGGGGCGAAGTGCTTCATCTTCCGGCGTAACCAGCACCAGGCGCATCAATCGAATCCGCACCACTGGTCGTCGTGGGTCATTCCGCCGCGGTGGATCTCGTCAGGCTCCTACGACAGAGGAGCCGACCACTGAGGCCACTACTACCACTACAACCACCACCAATCCTCCCACCACTGCTGCGCCAACGGAGGCTGCCATCGAGGTAGACTCTGAAGATAACGGGGCCCCCGCCGAGCCTTTGGCACAGGAAATTGCGACGGAGAGTGCGTTTGTCACCGAGCCCATCGTAGAGAGTGTAGAGGAGAAAGGTGCCGCCTCCGAGGAGTTGAATGAGGCTGCCGAGATAGCGCTTGAGCAGGGTGAAGAGGAGCTCACTGCTGCAGCTGCTGATGAAGCTATTGCAACGGCTGCAGTACCTCCGACCACCGAAGCTATCCTTGAAGAGTCCACCACCGCCGTGCCGCCTTCAGAAGAACCCACCACGCCAGAGTCCCTGATTGGAGGCCGAGGAAGGCTTGGACGGAGGCTGAGAGGCAGGAGGCCGGGTTCCAGGCGCAACTCTATCACTGCGACTACGAAAACTGAGGCTTCCGAGGTGTTTGAGGAGGCGCCGGCCCGACCGACCAGGCGGCCACGCCCCTCTCTTCGCCAGAGGGTTTCTACAGCTTCGACCCAAGAAACATCTACTACCGAGGAAGTGACAGTCCAGCGACCGCAGAGAACCCGCCCGTCTCTTCGCTCCCGACTTTCGCAGCAGGAGCAAGAGCAGGAGGAAGACAGTGTCTCAGAGGAAACTAGCAACAAACCAGTAGAAAAGGCTGAAGAAACGCCAGCTCGGGGGCGCTTCCCGATTCGTCGCCGCCCGGCTTTCCCTATCAGGCGCCCAACTGCGCCTGAAGAGTCCCCAGCAGTTACTGAGGAGCGTCAGACTGTCAGAGATCGTCGGCCAGCCTTGCCCATCCTGAGACAGCGCGGAGATGCCGAAGAGTCAGCTCCTACCACTGAGGCTGATGCAAACACCGAAGAACCCAAGCCAGAACCTCCTAGACGTCGTCTGCCATTCTTGGCACCGGGATCTCGTCGTCGCGAGGGTCCCAGGCGAGGCTTCCTCGGCATCGCCGCTCCCACCACCACTACCACTACCGAGACCCCTATCCAGGAGGTCGTCGAGGTGGAGCAGACTGCTGAGGAAGAGACTGCCGCCGAGGAGACGACCGTAGAGGAAGCCGAACGCTCGGCCACTGCACCTGGATCGCGACAGCTGCGCCTTCGTACGCGTGGCGAGCGGCCAATCCGTAACCGTAACCTCCCGCCCGTGATCGGTGGTAGGAGCATTCTGGGAGCGCCAGGTGGCACGCGGGCCCGTCGACCTCTATTCGCCCGTCGACCTACTGAGGCGCCGGCGGAGAGTGCCGATGAGGTGACTCCAGAGACGGAGGTGCGCGAGGTTACCGTGGAAGCAGCTGAGCTGCCGTCGACCGAGCAGGCCGAGGAGCAGAGCAGCCCGGAACCGACCGAGGAAGTACCTGAGGCAGAGGTCACTAGCCTACCACCGGTGTTCCGCAGGCCCTTCAGCGGCCGGCAGCGCGGAGCCGGTAGCCGGCGTCCGTTCGTCCCAGGTGTGCGACGCACCGGTCGCCCCGCTGGCGGCCGACGAGGAATCGCCTCTCTACTGAGAAGTCCCGATGCGCCCGTGCAGGCTGTCCTGGTGTCGACGACGCCGTCGGCGCCTGTCGCTTCTGAGGCAGAAGTGTCTACCGAGGAGGCCCTGCGCGATGAAGAGCTGCTCGTGCAGGAGGTCTCCGCTGAGAAGGCCGTTCCGGAGGAGGAGCCGGCCGCCGTCAAAGAGGTGGTCAAATCCGAAGAGGCGGAGCCGGCGAAAGAAGAGGAGCAGCTAGTGGTGGTCGAGGGTGAGACTGTAGAGGAGCCTGATGACCTGGTGGAGGGGTCTGGAGCGCAGATCCAAGGTAAATGGTTTAAATAAATGGCTTTCTCCAGACAAGGTTTCGCAAAACACGGACCTTCTCATTTTTTTAAGTTAAAGATGGGTAAACGATCCCTCGATAAACATACGGCTCGGTCGGTATTCGGTACAGCTTTTATTATCAAATCTAGATAAATTTAACGGTAATCAGTTAGTGATGATGAAACAGCTTTGATAACACATTGTGGTTTGCGAAACTTTGTTTGGAGTGCTTGATAGTAGATACCAGGTAGTTTATTATTTTTTACTGCTTTTCACGAATGGTAGTAAGAAGTAGCGCTTGGGAACTAGTGAATCTAAATAATGGTAGTAAGTTGTTGGTTAAAGCACTTATTTTTGCCGGTCACTTAGAGTGTTGTGGTGCTTTTGCCTTAGTACATCGCATAATAAGGGAAACGGTGCGCACAACAGCGGATGCTTCGGTTTTTCAATCATTAGTAGTTTTAGCTGTGAGTGCAGATAGAAACGGCAAACTTTAAGCAAAAGTCAAACCAAGCAAATGAGTTAAGATATTGTAGAATATTTTAAAGAACTTTTCCTCGAGTAAAGAAATGTTTAAATGGCGAAAGTGATACATTCTATTAGTAAATTTTCGCCCACAGGGCATCTTCAGGCAAGCAATTAGCAAACATATACAAATCCTGATACAAATCCTGATTTGTATACCCTTGCTAACTGCGTGTCTGAAGATGCCCTGTGGGCGAAAGTTTGCTATCTGGAATAGGAGTATATCACTTTCGACTTTTAAATACCTACTTATTCGAGGAAAAGGTCATTAATAGATAATATACCTATAACATCATAACAAAATCTTCCTCGCGAGAGGAAATTAATTGAATAGTCAGTTGATTTATTGAATAATTTTGCTGGATCATATATTGAAATTCCAGCTCTTTGGTTTGACTTTGTGTTTTGAGCGCGCGGTGTACTTTTGCTTTTGGAAGCTTCTGTAGCAGGATCTGGTTGGTGGTGGTGATGGCTAGTAGAACGACTTTGTAGTCTTTCCTGTTTGTCGATCTCCACTGAAGAGCACAACTCGGAAGTTTGCGGGCTACCGACCATAATCATTACAGACTCGGTCAGCCTGATGAGCTCTGCTCTCGTTCAGACCCCACAGGTCTTATTGTGCTTAAGGAGTTATCGACAGACAGGAAGGAGGTATCGACAGGGACCGGTGACTGGCGCTTGGCATGCGACTGTTCCAGGCGCGCCTCTCCCTGACCCCACCGCCGCCGTTGCAGATGAGTTGGCGCCCGAGGAGGAGCTTCAGACGCTGGTGGTGGAGGCCGTCGCCATCGAGCCGACGAGCACCCAGCCGCCTACCAGCGCGACCGAGGAGCCCACCAGCGCCGCCCCCGAGCAGCCCTCTGTGGCACCTCGCAGGAGCGCCTTCAGGGGCCTCAGGGCAGAGGGCCGGGCACGGCCGTCCCTCTTCGAGAAGCTCCAGGGTCGCACCAGCCAGTCGTAGGGAAGGAAGTCCGCGTGACTGTTTGACAGGATAGGGGACACAGGTGACCGTTCCGCGGTGACAGACCGCTGACAGACTAAGAGCGCCCCTCGATAAGCAAAACTCTTAAACGTCTCGGTGGAAGAAGTACGGTGCGAGACGTCATGGGCGCTCGGGATATGGTTTGTGAAATTTGCAGAAATCGATACGCGTCGATTTCGAATAATGTCCACCTGTTTGGCTCACAGGTGTGTGAGAAAAGTCTGCGTGGTCACTCCTTGATATCATCTGAGCGCGTGCGTGTGTAAATGATCATGAATTTCCATTGTACTACGCTCGCGTATGAACGGATTACGCAACACCGTCCACCGGAAGCTCCTTTGCGTAAACTGTTGCTGTCGGCTGATTGTAAGCATGTTCTGATCATTGTTATGTCGTGCCCTTTTGCTGTGAGGTCTATCGTACTTGAGTGCCATGTAGACGTGATCATTGACGCACGACGAGTGTAAGAGGAACATTAGATGAGAGGCATGACATTCATGGTATTGCATAAATAAGATGTGAAACAACATGTCGGTGTTTTAGGCATGCAGACGATGAAAACGTGTGACGCATATCCGTACGAAACGGCTAGAGTGAGGGATCCACCCTCATTCGGCCTCGGCCGGGTAGTGTACAAAACCGGTAGGTCCGGTGGGGATATAATGCTTCCACAAAATTTAGCGCACTTAACCCGCGCCCCACTGGGGTCTGCGTATAACACGCCCTACTGGGGGGGGGGGGCTCTCCATACCCCTCCTAGCTCCGAAACTACTGGACCGATCGTCAAAATTCAAATGGCGTCTAATAGCCCCGGAAAAACTGTCGAGCGAAACCTAATTTCATTAACCCGCGCCCTGATGGGGGGGCATTTTGCCCCCCCTGTGGTTTTTCTTAAATAGCGAGATAACGGCGGTGCGCAGCGCCGCCAAATTTTGGGTACCTTACCGAGCATTAATTTGACACATTCACACAAAATTTCAAGTCACAGGTCACCTCAGCTCAGGAGTTATTGAGGTCAAACTGAGGTCATGTTCGAGTAAAAATGAGCAAAAAACATGACATTTTGAAACGCTCACCAATTCTACAGTTAACAGGCAATTTTAAAGTTCTTTATGTGGTTGTGTAGAGAAAAGACGGCGCTACAAAACTGCTATCTCGGATTTTAAAAATGTTTGGATTTTGACCCCCAAAAATAAAAAAATTGATTTGTTTTAGAAAAACTCAAAATATTTCCAATTTTTTTTTCCGAATTTCGAAAAAATCGGAGTACATGTGATAGTCCCTGCGCTCTTCCATATACATACCAAATTTTAGATCAATACCTCTTTTTTTGGCCAAGTTATAGTGGAAAAACTGTTAAAAATTGATGACGTCAAATTTTTGAACTCAATTTTTAGCAATTCTAGACCTCATAGCGCATAACGGAGACCACCATTGAACTCCCCGTGACGAGCTGCATCGAATCGATACCCATTTTATGCAAAAAATATCAACTTTGAAATTTGACCTAATTTGACCTGACCTTGACCTGACCTTGACCTGACCTGGACCAAAACGTGACCTAAGCTGGCCCTAAAGTCTGTCTGACCCACATAATCGCATTTGTCATGTAAAATGGACCATAAAACATGTATCACACGACACTTTCATATTGTGACCCCCTGCAGTGACCTGACCTCTGTGACCTGACCTGGTATCAGTGACCTCAAATAGCAAAATATGTGTTTGAAGAACATTTCCCCATAGACGATTTTCAATGAAATGCATTTTACACGATTTTACAACGCATTTCTTGAAATGCCTGTAAACGGTGAAAATTCGACCTTTGACCTGACCTGTTACGTCATCGGTTTGACCGAGGTCAATGAAATTGGGTCACAAGGTAGTTCCCCGTTGGGGCTATCCAACACCGTTTACCGCTTGTCGCTATGTTGCGTGGTTCTCGAGATCTGAGGGGGGCCAAAATGCCCCCCCATCAGACCGCGTTGCTCGGTAGACCCCATCTGGGCGCGGGTTAACCTCGAGGTCACTGATGACGTCGGTACCTACCAAACTTGTACTTTGATTTTCAGGTCAGGGTCAGGTCATCACAGGTCACGGAAATATTATATCATGCGTCGGTCACGTCAACGTGACACATGTTTTATGGTCCATTTAGCCCATAGATTTCGAATTTGATGTCGTCTGTGCCATTAGAGGTCATTTTGAGTCGCATTTAGCTTAGGTCAGGTCACTTTCAGGTCAAAAAAGGTCAAATTTTTAAGTTAAAAAATTTCAACAAAAAAGGTGTCTATTGGATGCAGTTTGAGCTCAGGAACACGATGGTGCTATTTATATTGGTGTACGATGTCAAATACGTACTGAAAAAAATGATTTGAAAAATTAATAATTGTGAAGGTTTTGCAATAATGCGTATAACTTGGCCATTTTTGAAGATATTTAGCTAAAACATGCTAATATTAGTAATAAGCATGCGTTCTGTCACATATGTTCCGTTTTCTCGAAAACTCAAAAACTTTTTGAAAAAAAATATAAAAATATAGATTTTGAATATTATTATATAAAATTTCCGAAATTTTCAAAATTTTGACAATCCGAGATAGCAGTTTAATAGCGCAGTCAATTCTGAGTCCTTTCATGCAAAGAAATTGGATGTAGCTTAAAAACTGAGCTCTTGGGAGCGATTTTTGACAGGCAGTGGTTCAATGTTTTGCGTCGAAATTGGCCGAACATGACGTCACTCTGACGTCATTTACGGCCGACCTATGCAAGCTACGAAGTTTAAATTTGGACAAAAGGTGTCAAATTGATGCAGCCGAAGGTACTGAAAGTTTGGCGTCGATACGTCAAGTGGTTTGGAAGTTATTGTAGAAAAACGGGAGGGGGGCTGTAAATAGCCCCCCCAGTGGGGCGCGAGTTAAACGGTTTAAACTTTAACAATTACCCGCTGCCTGTCACAATGCGAGTAAAAGCATCGTGCGCCACGATATAGTAATCGGCCAGCACCTTACTTCAGAAGCAGTTCTTGCCGTGTTTTTTTTATGTGTGAGGTCACATAGCAAGATGCGAACTAGGAATTGGGGGGGGGGGGAGGATTTTGGCGATAGATGTTGACTGGCGAAACGTCAATCAACTGGGATTGTGTGCGATGGTAGCAAGCAAAGATAAAGGTTGTTGAGTAAAGAAGCGGGATTGAAATGATATCTAAGCGTTTATCACTTTTTTTTTTGGCTGAGGGGCCAAAACATGCTCTTAGAAGCTTGAGAAGGGAGGTACCGTGACACCGGCACCCTACCAGCATCATCCTCGCAACCCGCATGCGAGGTCCAGTGTGGGGCGGCCTTAAGATTTGCTTAACTTTTTACGTACACTTCGGCACATTTTTGACGTAATTTTTACGTATATACCCCAACCCCTCCTCCCCTAAATATTGACCTAGAGCAACCAAATTCGCACAGGGGCGAGAATTCCTGGGGGTACCTACCAATCTGCCAACTTTGGTGTTTCTAGGTGTCACAGGAGCCAATCGCAAGGGGGATGTCGCATCGACCCCCTCCCCCCAGCCAGGCCGCGTTATGAAAAATGCTCTGCCAGGGCGAGGTTTAGCCCGCGCCCCAGCGGCGCTCTCAGCCAACCAGGGGTGTCGTTTTCCGAAAATGATTGGTAGTGCCCAAAGGCGGCGGCTGGCCATATATGACGGGGCTTACAAGGTAGGGTACCCCCAAATCTGCCTTTCTCATCGGATTTCGGCCACTTATTTTTCGCCCTGGTCATTGACAAGACTAACCGAAATCTAAAAAAAAAAAACACAAAAAAAAAACTTTGGAAATCTGGGTCCACACCGGACGCCATGCACAAAACGTGCAGTTATATAGGCAATAGTGTCGGAGGAATGCACGCCATTCTGAAAGAGGCCCACATCGACTTAAAAGGACGGCTGTGCTGAAAGGGGACAGGAACAGCTTTGAGGGCCCAAGCCGACTAAAAAAGACGGCTGCGGGGCCAGGAACGGTTTTGGAGACCCACGCCAATTGAAGGGTTCGACAACTAACGAGGACTGGAAACACAACGATAGTTAGAAAGACCTGCTTGCCAAAATAAAAGGATGACAGTACGAGGAGCGTTCAGAAAGCTACGGGCCCGACCATGAAGGAGCAGAGAGATACAGCATCGACTCATTAGACCAAATAGTTCATTTATTCAAATAAACACCGTTAAGACAAACACATTTCGCGCTGCGCTTCGCGAGAGCCCTCAAGGCCTCCATAACCAAGTGGGTTTTGGACCCATCCTGCACGTCCAAGACGGCTGATTTCGTCTCCCTGCTGTTAGCGAGGTTGCCGCTGCTAATTTTCTTATGTTGGGGAAGAGGTGGCAACCACTAACCAGAGTGTGCAAGGTTCGGAGAGAAAAAAGTGGATGCGACAACAACTCGAAGCTCATCGCTTCACTGTTCGTCATCCCGCCCATGTACGCAGGTGCGTGGTCGCGGATCAGGTGCACACTTTACGTCAGCTTCCCTATAGCCTCTCCTTGATGTTTATCGAATGGACGCACATCATCAATTGTGTGCCCCTGTTTTGGAAAGTTGACGAGCGGAGGGGGGTCGCATCGACCCCTCCCCCTGCCAGGCCGTGTTATGAAAAATGCCCAGGGCGAGGGTTAACGCTTGGTGCCTTTTCTGCACTAACTACTATGAAACGAATCACTGCTCTCTTCTGGGCGTCGCCCATCCTATCCGAAATGGCGAACTATGCTACGAATAGAAGCCCGAATCAATCACATAAGAGACTTAAAGGGACCTTCCCACCTTCAAAAAAGTTTATGAATTGGCATGAAAGTGATGTCGCTCGGTTCAGAAAGAGCGAAAACGAATATCTACCAAATTTCACCGAAAAATATTCACCGGTTTTCAAGATATTAGACTTTTACTTTTGTTTACTTTTTTGGGATCTCCGCTGTTTCTAGCGACTTTATTTTAGAAGTGCGGCGTTTGCGGCAGATGTTGCGCGCAAATAGCATATACCACCGCGTGCTACAAAACGTTTTAGTCAAACATTTAAAAATCGTTAGATATCTGCGCTGACGTCACACATTCAGAGGGGTATTCCTAACCATTAGCCCCTCTGAATCAAAATGCTGCAATTTTGAAATTCAATATTTCCGATTTAAGACATTTCTCGATGTTGTGAGTGCCGAAACCGGTAATTGTGAGCCAGGGACCCCATTTTGGCTATCTCAACTCAAATCTAATGTTAAGGTGGGAGGGTCCCTTTAATTAATGGCCACTTACTTAATTTGCATAAGTGGACATCCCAATAACACATCATTTAACACACCGCCTTGCAGGCCAAAATTCCAACTCCTTCATTGTTCGGCCCGAAACTTTTTGAACGCCCCTCGTAGTTACGAGCGTCAGTTTTCGGGGTCTGATGCGGTAATGACCTGGCGTTGAACCCTGGGGAATCAGGCTGCATCACCCACTCAAATCAATATACCTATGGCCTATTCTGGAGCACCGCGGCACCT